GGTACTACTAAGCCCAAATCTTTTTCTAGCTCTTTTGTGTGTGTGTGTATACAGATGCACTGATTGATTTGGAGTGGGGCATTCTGGTTTTTATGCATTATCACAGTATGATGTGAGCATTTAGAATAGCAAAAAATTAATAGCTATCTAAATTTGACCCAGAAGTCAGAACTGGCTAATGCGCTTGGTTCCCAATCTCAGCTCTTGTCTATGTCTTTATAGGAAACTTGGAAATATTTTACTTTTAACTACTCATTTGATTTCCACCCTAGAAGTTTTTTAAAAAATTTCCCCATGGCTACTTCATTTTGTACGGGACTGTCTCCCAGAAGAACAGACCCTTTATTGCCTTGAAATCAGATGGGGTCTCAGTTCCACCACTTAAGAACATGGGCAGATTGCTTAATCGCCCATATAAACAGGGGTAGTAATAGCTGCCCTACTTAAATAAGATAATGCTCAGAAAATCACTCAGTACTTTGACTGGAAACTTACAAAATTGGGAGGTACTCCTTTTAAGGGTAACATTTTAAAATATGGAGGGAGTTAAGAAATTACATTTGACTACCTACTAAATGCTGTAGCTTTTGTCAGGCTTACCTTCCATATACATTAGCTCCTTTAATCCTTTGATGTAGGCATTATGGTCTTCATTTCACAAATGAGAAAACTGTGATTCAGAGATGTAAACTGTGACATGTCTAATGTTCAGCTCCAGTAAATGGGAGTACCTGGGCTTGAGTTCAAATCTAATTCTAAAGCTTATGATCTTTCCACTGTTATGCGGTGTCAAATATCTCATAAAGTATTTGCTACAAGGTAGATTATGTTTTCTCCAGTAACCAGAAATGTAGGTTGTAAGTTAGGTTTTGAGAAATCTTCGGAGGGGAGTTCACTACAAGCTTATAAAGGGATTGGCAATATGTGCTTACTGCAACCCATTCCTGGCCCCCAAATAAACCAGAAGGCTATGACGTTGGAGATCATGGCACACCCAGAAGTTGTTTTATTTGTTAAACGAAGGGGCTGGATGAAATGTCTTCTAAAGCCCTACCAAGCTGTAGAATTCTAAAGGTGAGAGGGAAACAACAGGGAAACACACAGGTGATATAAACACCAGTGTTTCTTTCTTTCCTTCCTTCATGCAATAATTATGCAGTGAGCACATCTTATGCACCAGACACTAATGCTAAGCACTGTTTCCAAGATCAAGAGTTCTATTTGCTAGATGAATTTCCTTTTTTAATTAATTTTTTAGTGCTCATACATTTAAGAGCCTGGAGTACCAAAACTTCTTAGAGAAAGATATAATTACATTTCCCATTTAATAGTCTCCCCAATCCTCATGAACTTGCTTCTAAAGCATCTTATAAAATTAAATACACAGTTCTGAACTTACACTTTTTTTAAAAGGCAAAAATAAGAATGAAGACAAGCCAGGAGGGAATAATACTTTTAACATATGATCGTTGCAGACGTTAGTATAACAGGGCTGATAATAGTCTGAAATTCAGTTCTTACAAATGCAGAATTCCCACCCTCTCTCCCTACTCCCCCGCCCTGAGATAAGCAGTAAGTACTCAGAATAAGTTATTGTCTGAATTATACATGGGTTTGTAGTGTGGAACCAAATTCCACTCTGGCGAAGGAAAACCAAATATACACTTACACAGTATTGCATATGTTAACATATTAAAAACAAAACAAGCCCCCGAAATGTTTTGTTTTCTATTGAAAAATAATATTCCGAAGAGCATTAAACACAGGGAAAAAAGTTAAAGCCAGTGTTTTCCAATATGTAAAATTCCTGGATCTATGCTGGTTCACGAAGGAAAATCCTAACTGGTTTTGCAGCTTTTGTGAAGTTTGATCAGAATGATTAAATAATGTGGGTTTTAAGGAACAATGAAAACCTCCCAGATCGACGACACACAGCACAGCTAATGTGTTTCTTCTAGATGTCGTCTCAGAAGAGGGTTTCAGTTTACATGTAATACTGGCCCCAAGACCAAGGAGCAAGTTTGCTTTTAACAAGTCCAAGTGATAATCGTGATATTTTGCCCTTTAGTTAATGGTGCGAATTTTATTTTTGAATAGACTTTTTGTAAATGGGAGGCTCGTTTTTAAGTCCTCTTGTTTGCAGGGCTTTCTCTCTCTTATGAGAGGTTTGCTTTCTCTAACTTTAAAATGCAGTGAAACCCTCTTAGAAGACAACCCTCTTTTTAACAGACTTTAGATACACCCGGATCACGTCATGGCCCCGGTACATAACCACCATACAGAAAAGCCTGGTGTAGCACTGTTAGCTTTTAAGATCAGCAGTCTCCTACTCTCAACCCCACCTACAATCCCCATGCCCATTAGAAAGGATTTCTATCTTCCATGTTTGTATTATTTACTACTGAGTAAACTGTGCAACCTTACAGTTGCTCCTAAAGGGTAAATCAGACACTACTTCTGTATTAGGGAATTTTGTACTCATATAACTCGTGATGTACTAGCCAGAGGGTCTCTTAAGAGCTTCATTCTTAAGGTGATCTATGGGTGTAATGGAATATTTGCATTGATTGAACCTTCTATGAGATTGGACTAATTTAAAGGAAAACTTCCCCTTTAAGAGTTCCATCTGGTTAGGAGTGAAAGAACATTTATTGAGCACCTCATTTACGGCAGCCACTTCACTCCTCACTCCTCACCGGAGGTGTTATCTCCATTTCACGCCTGAAACCAAATTAAGGTTTTCAGGGACCTGCCCAAAGTCATAAAGCTAACATGGCGGAGCAGGGATTTGAATCTAAGCTTTCCAAAGTGGAATCTGTGTTCCTTTTGAGATCTCCCTCTCTCCCTGAGACAACACTCAGAAAGAGGGTGTGATTCACTGGGCCCTCCTGGCTTTCACTTAATTTAACTCATGCCCTTATGACCGAAGGTAAGACAGGACCACTAACCCTTGACAAGGAATGATTCCTTTGTGGAGCCATTCAAAGTAGTAACCCCTACTACTATGATTCAGAGTGCCCAAATCTGACTCTTAGGTGGAGCTGAGGCAGTGACAATTTTCGTTAACTAAAATATCTCCTCATAGCAGCAAATGCATGTAACCTAAAGGGAGGTAGCGTTGTCAGGACAGTGAGAGCCCTGGCTTCAGAGTCCAACAGAACTGGGTTCCAATCCCAGGCTTGCCATTTACCAGCTTTGTGTGTGACCTGAGTTATTCAGCTAGCCTTTCTAAGACTTAATTGCCCGTTTGCAAACTAAGAGAAATAATAACAGCTACCTTACATGGAGGGCTGTTGTAAAGATTAAAATAACACATGCGAATGACTTAGCCCAGTGCCTAGGGTATTTTAAATGCTCAATAAATGTGAACTAACATTATAATCATACAAAGTTTGGGTTAATTCATGGAACCTGTTAGATAGGTCAGGAAGATATTTGGTGAGAAATCTTGTGACATAAAAATCTTATTTTGTCTATGTACCTGTGTATCTTTGTATCTCTCTGTGTATCTATCAATCTGTCACCTATCTCCATCTATTTTTACCAGATTGAAGGGAGAAAAGAGAGTCATTTGGCAGTGTAGACAGTTATAATAGGTAATTTTAGTATCGTTGTACCAAGTACTTGCTGCTAACCCAGGTAACAAAAGTAAAATGCAAAATGAGTTATCCTGGCTCAGGTTACCTGTATTTTTGTGTTTATATAGCCTTGAGATGATTCTCATACACAGAAGAGGATGTACTAAGTTTTCTTTACTCTGAAAATGGAAATTATAAACATGTATTTTTTTTTTTTTGGCTGTGTTGGGTCTTTGTTGCTGTGCGTAGGCTTTCTCTAGTTGCAGTGAGAGGGGGCTACTCTTCGTTGCGGTGTGTGGTCTTTTCATTGCAGTGGCTTCTCTTGTTGCAGAGCACAGGCTCTAGGTGCGTGGGCTTCAGTAGCTGTGGCACACGGGCTCAGTAGTTGTGGCACACGGGCTTAGTTGCTCCGCGGCATGTGGGATCTTCCCAGACCAGGGATCAAACCCGTGTCCCCTGCATTGGCAGGCGGATTCTCAACCACTGCGCCACCAGGGAAGTCCCTATAAACGTGTATTTTTATAGAAAGTGCATGTGATATGTGTGTGTTGGTGTATTTGGGGATTGGAGTAGGCGTGATAAACACAGGGAAATTATAATATTAAAATTTTACTCAAAAGGGAAAAAAACAACTGTGATACCAGAAAAATCTTCTGTGAAGTAAAGCAATGAACAAACTGTTAAGATAGTTAGAAATATATTCATGTCAGGTTTGTGTTGAGTGTGGAATTGTTAATTGTTAATAATATACATTGTTTATTAATTATTATTTTTAGCATCCCTTGTTTCCATCTCAGAGAAAAACATTGATGATTTCAGCTAGCTTTTTTTTTCTCTCTCTGCTTTGGGTGAACTGATTGACAGGTGTTTGTTTGGGGCAAGGAATAGGAAATTAACTATGTAGAAGTGTGCTAATATTTGTTTTTTTGAGTTAGAAGCCTATATATTTTCACTCACATTTAGATTTGCTTTGCCTAACAATGTGGGTAGAAGTGGTTTGTAAATTGTACAGTAATATATCAATGTTAATTTTGGTAATTTTAGTTGTGATATGGAAAGAAAAATCATCATTTAAGAAACATTAATTTTCTAAAAGTCTCCTTTACATAATTATGGATATGTGGGAATAATTTTTTTTAATTACAGGTAGAAATAAGGGCAAAATGGCTTTTAAAAAGCATTTTCATGCATTTCAGAGATTACTCCAGGGGAGTCTGTTAGGGTGAGGGCTGCATAGATCTCTCTCTGCATCATGCAATGAAAAATGGAGAAGATGAACCTTCAAGGAGAAAGAGATTCTTAAAGCAATCTTAATACCTTATCTGCAAACCAGAACATTCTTACTTGAAATGTGTCCCTTGGTGCAGCACTGATAAGAAATGTCAGGTAGGAAACGATATAACTTCCTTTTTCATTTTGCAGAAAGCAGAAGCCACTGGAGAAAAACGGCCAAGAGGCAGACCTAGGAAATGGGTGAGTAGTAAGATAAAATTTCTGTTCTTTTTTAGTACTGAAAAATTTCTGTTTTTTTTTTTAATAAATGACTTTTATTTTATCGATTCCATGAATTTCTAGCTTCTGATATGACGCATCTTTGAAAGGGTTAAGGCAAGAAGCATATTATCACCACCTCTTACCCTCAGGCTCCAGGAGTTTCCTCAAAACACTTTTCTTTCCTGGGAGTGTCTCCTTTTTCTATCTCTTATCAACATGAAAAGAGTCTCCACTCTTCCTTCAAATGGGGTAACAATGAGATGACTTGTTCCCTGGGTTGAGTAACTAAGGTTAAAGGGTATTATGAAACATTGGAAGTTGATTACAAATGGTGATAAAATTCAGATGAAATGTGTATGAGGTAACTTTTTAACTCTTTCTTTTCATTTCTTTTTGTTGTTGTTGCCGGGATGGTTTGGCCTTGGAAATACCTCATTTTCTAGGTGGTTTGTGTTTTCCTTTTCCCGTTGCCTTTGTTAGGAAACCAGGTTTTACGCACCGGTTTTTCTTGCTTCCCTTAGTAGTGATTCTTACATACTGACGGTGGCTTCCATGCAGGTGTACCTGACCCCATAGGCACACAGATCCTGTATCTTTCTGAGGCCAGAAATTCACTGACCACTGAAGAGCTTTGTTAATTTTACCACTTGAACCTGGTTCTTTATGCTGCTACATTACCATGTTCTTCTGGTCTGTCTTTCCCACTGACCGAGGAAAAAAGTCTTAAAAACGAATAAAACCATTTCTCAAGAAAGATGAGGGCATCCTCTCTACCCTGGGTCATCTATGATGGCATCTTTGGCCTTGCTTTTCTCTCTTCCATGGTTCCATCTTCATGCTTCATCTTTTTCTGAAGTCCCTTTGCTGCTCTGCTGGATTGTATTTTCCTGTTAGTTTCCATTCTTCTCTCCTCCAGAGTTCTGCATCCCTTTCTATTTATACTTTGGTATTGCCTTTCATTCAATTTATTCATCTTGTATTTTTTTCCCTCTGCTCAACATGTGTTGGGATTAGATTTCTTAGCACAAGGAAATGGGGATGATCTTTAGATTAAAAACATCTCAGTGTTACAGTGTGACCTTAAAGTAAGAGCATTTTATTCAACCTTCTGGTCAATAAATGAATTCTCTCCAAACTTACCCACCAGGTGGTGATCATCTAGACTGCTTGATTACCTTTAATGTTAGGAAACTCACGTCCTCTTAAGGCTGCCTCTTCTTTCCTGGAAAGCTCTGAACTTTAGAAAACACTTCCATCTGACTCCCTGTAACTTCTGTTCACTGTTCCTAGGCCTCCCTCCTGGGAATATACAGAGTAATTGTTATTACTTTTACTTGTGATAGCTCTTCAGATATTTGAAGGCAATTAACATATACCATTTGTTCTCTTTTCTGATTTGAATATCTCTAAGCCTTTCAGCTTTTTCCCACGAAGGAACATTCTTCTTCTTCTCCTCTGAGTATGCTTGTTTTTTTTTTTGTCTTTTGTAATATGTCACCCAGAACTAAGTATCATATTCCAGGTGTGGGCTCCATAACCAATGGGTTTATTACCTCTCTTGTTAGACATATGGTTCCAGTTACCTATTACTGTTTCATCAACCACCCCAAAACTTAATAATGTAAAAAAACAAAACAACAAAAAAGCTCAGATTCTTTGGGTCAGGAATATGGACAGGGCACAACGGAAAGGCTTGTTTCTGCTTCAGGATGTCCTAGGGCCTCAGCTGGGAGGACTCAAGCAGCTGGGCGTTACCTCTCATGCTTGGGGTAGAATTTGGAGGCGTCTTTACTCACAGGTGCTTTTGCAGAATTGGCTGGAAGTCTGGGTGCATCTGGGGGTGTCCTGTGGAGCACCCACACACATGGCCTTTCTAACTTGGTGGTCTCAGGGTGGGAAGTCAGCCTTCTGACATACACTCAGGGCTCCCAGAGAGGGTGTTTTCCCAAATGAGGAGAAAACTGCAAGCAAGGCCTTTTTTGACCTAGTGTCAGAAGTCAAAAAGTCCTATTCCATTATACTCTAGTGAGCACAGTGTTGACTAAATTGGTATTGGCATACATATCAAATATAGGTCTGCCATTTTCTAAGCATCACAACTAAAAGGACATCGTATCCCATTGAACTCATCATTAAGAGAAACCTATATAAACTTTCTTATAGGCAACAGAATAGGAAATAGGTAAGTTCTTTGAAGTCATGAGATTAATGTTGCTAAAATGAAATGAAACGCATTGTAAGCAAATACAGTGAGATTTAACCAGCACTCAGCTTCCATCAATTGTCCCCCAACCCAGCTTTATTGAGATGTAATTGACATATAACCTTGTGTAAGTTTAAGGAATACAGCGTGTTGATTTGACTTATGTATTGCAAAATGATTACCACAGTGGCATTAGTTAATACCTCCATCATCTCACATAATTACCATTTCTTTTTTTGTGGTGAGAACATCTAAGATCTATTCTCTTAGCAACTTTCAGGTAAATAATACTGCATTGTAAACTATAATCACCATGCGAGATCCCCAGAGCTTACTTTATGACTGGGAGTTTGCACCCTTTGACCAATATTTCCTCATTCCCTCCGCCCACCCCAACTCCCCCCAAGCCCCTGGCAACCACCATTCTACTGTCTGTTTCTATACATTTAGTATTTATAGATTCCACATATTAAGTGATAGACAGTATTTGTCTTTGTCTGACTTATTTCACTTAGCATAATGTCCTCAAATTTCATCATGCAAATGGCAGGACTTCCTTTTTTCTCTGGCTGAGTAATATTCCATGGTATATGTCCACCACATTCCCTTCAGGCACTTATCCGTAAATGGACTCTTAAGTTCCATATCTTGCCTCTTAACTGGTCTTCCTACCTTTCACCTTTTCTACCTTTGGCTCTCCTATGTTTGCCAGTTAACCTGCATAGGGTACAGTCACATCACTGCTCTTCCTAGAAACTTTCTATGGATCCACAGCTGGCCACTGAATTGATTACAACCTTCCCTAGCTCTTCGAAGTCCCCACAGTTTATACCCACCTCCCTTTATGCCTTTATTTCCCACCACTCATCCTCACACAGCCGATGTTTCAGCCAAGCTGGAATAAAATATGTAGTAGTTAAAGGATCTCTATGTGTTTAATTTTCTCAATGGATTCTTGCTCATTTGGGGGATATCTGGATTCCAGGCACCTGATCTTCATGCTGAATAAGAAGCCCACGTGAAGCACCCACCACAAATCCCTTGCCTTTCTGGGAATAATTGGGCCATCTTCATTGACCCTCATGATTTCTAGTTTTTACTGGCTGTGAGAATGGAAAATATTGTGTAGCTAATTGTTATAAGACCCCGATTTGTTCCCCAAAGAAGAGTTGTTCTACTTAGAAAAGGAAATAGAAGGAAATTGTGTATTTTTTTTCTAGACAGCGTGTTTCCTTTTTGCTTATATATATTCTGTTGGGTAGAGTGTGCGGCCAGTCACAGCAAGGCATTCAGTTCAAGGGCATTCTTTACTGGAAAGCTTGTACTAAAGAAATAAATTATTGCATTTTCCATAGGAAATGAGCCTTGTACTTTACAGTAAGTTCAATTCTTTCCAACAGTGTCATTCACTGATTTCCTTATATTAGAGATATATTTTTGAACTGACAGGATTTACTAGGTACAGGGCCTACAAGCCAAACTGGTCCCCTTTTATTCTTCTAGGTGGTTTTGTTTTATAAAGTTCTTTTGCTTTTAAAAAGAAGTCTTGTACATTTTATGGTGTCATGTAATAGGGCTGGAAGAAGATATCTACCTTGTAACCCTCTCATCTGATGTGACTGGGATCAGTACTTGGTAGGTTACTCCAAAGTTGATTAACCAAAAGTATGTGGACATAGGAAAGAAGTTTGTGCCAGTCTTGCTTCTGCAGGGGATGGAGTGTTGACTAATCCAGTGAGGACATTAACTAGATTTTGGTTAAGAACACTTCTCTTATTTACTTTATTCCCCTTTGTTTTTTTGGTTTTTTTCTGAGTTTGAATCAGATTTCAGATCTATTATTTTGATGAGTTGCTTTGGACTTTCACATTTTTTTGGTCTGGACGAGGTGAGAGGTAAAGGAAGGAGAGAGAAGAGGGACGTAACTTTTCTACTGGTCTTAGAGTCGGGAGCTCAGGATCTGGATTCAGGTGGCTTGGGTTCAAATTCTGGCCCATCACTTGACTAACTAGAATCTTCAGCAAATTACATGACCTTTTTAAAAGCACTTTTAAAAATTATTTTAACTGAGGTATAGTTGATGTACAATATTATATAAGTTTTAGGTGTATAACATAATGATTCAAAATTTTTAAAGGTTATACGCCATTTATAGTTATTATAAGATATTGGCTATATTCCCTATGTTGTACTATCTATCCTTGTAGCTTATTTATTTTATTCACAGTAGTTTGTACCTCTTAATCCCCTACCCCTATCTTGCCCCTCCCCCCTTCCCTCTTCCCACTGGTAACCACTATTTTGTTCTCTATATCTGTGAGTCTATTTCTTTTTTGTTATATTCACTAGTTTTATTTTTTAGATTCCACATATAAGTGATATCGTACAGTATTTGTCTGTCTTTATTTCACTTAGCACAATACCCTCTAAAACTTCATTCATTTTTATGACTGAGTGATGTTCCATTGTGTATATATAGGGGTGTGTGTGTGTGTGTGTGTGTGTGTGTATACACCATGTCTTCTTAATCCATTCATCTGTTGATGGGCACCTAGGTTGCTTCTATATCTTGGCTATAATAAATAATGCTGCTCTGAACATCGGGGTGCATGTATCTTTCTGAATTAGTGTTTTCATTTTTTTTTTGGATAAATACCCAGGAGTGGAAATGCTGGGTCATACAGTAGTAATGTTTTCAGTTTTAAAGGTCCAATTTCCTCCTCTTTAAGAAGGTGGTAAGAGTGGTACATTTCTAATAGCATCGTGTGAGGATTAA